TGGGAAGCTGAGGTGAGAGGAGGCTTCAACCTGGAAAATACAAAAAAAAAAAAAAAAAAAACTGACTTTTAACTTTAAAATCATCTCTGCAAACTTGCACATCAGAAATTGCTTCTTAAATAGCCTGATAAAACAATAAATAATTTTTTATTATCTGAGAAATTTATTCTCTTTGAGGCTTAGGCATGGATGCTCATACAGCAAGGAGAGAGAAAAGGACCCCCTCCTTGACAACCAAAACACAGATATCAACAAGATGCTGAAGGATGTTGCAGCCTGACCCACTCCTATCACAGAAGTCATTTTTGCCAGCTGGGCATGATGGCTTATGCCGTAATCCTAACTCTTTAGGAGGCCAAGGTGGGAGGATCGCTTGAGGTCCGGGGTTTGAGACCACCCTGGGCAACACAATGAGGCTATCTCTACAAAAAAAAAATTCTTTTTAAATTGGCCATGCATGGTGGCATATGCCTGTAGTGCTAGTTCCTTGGGAGGCTGAGGTGGAAGGATTGCTTGAACATGGGAGGCTGAGGTTGCAGTGAGCCGTGAAGGTGCCGCTGCATTCTAGCCTGGGCAACAGAGCAAGACCCTGTCTCAGAAAAAAAAAGAAAAAGAAAAAAGTCATTTTTGTCATTTTGAGATGAAGCCCCTTTTCTCTAATCAATACATCAAATATATAAAAATCCACGGGTTCATTATGGTGTTAAATGGATCACTTTGGTTTCCTCACTCTAGCGATATTGTAGTGTAAAACAGAACAAAATGAGTAGGTATTTTCTTAAGTCCTGTGCTTCTCCAAATTTAATGTGCACATGAATCACCTGGATCTCTTGTTAAAATGCAGACTCTGGTTGAGCAGGTCTGTAGTGGATGTCAGATTCAGCAGTTCTAACAAGCTCCCAGGTGATCTCTCTGATCCACGCTTGGAGTAGCAAGGCCTGAATCCATTGCTACTTTAATTACCTTCAGTGTCCTGCTTAGGATTATCACCGTGCCTGGCCTGAAAAATGATCTATTTTAAACAGAGGCCATAGATTATCAATCAGAAGTTTTCCTTGTTTTAGAGCTTTAGCTATAGAATGTGTTGTTCCAAGCAGAGAAATGATGGCAGTTGTATTGATCTACACTAATGTTTGGGTGCACTGGAAATAGCAAGTCACAGTCAGGCAGTTTGGGTTGACTGACTGATGAGTTGACTGACCCATCCATCCATCCATCCATCCCTCCATCCATCCATCCGTCCAATTATTTAATAAATATTTATTGAGCACCCTTTATAGAAAAAAATCCAATTTAGGTATTAGAGAGATACAAAGATAAAGCAGCCACAGACATTGCATTCAAGCACCAAGTACCCAGGAAACTGTTTGGTTATATAGGGATAAAGTATAAACACTTGTGGTAAATGGTATTTTTAGAAATCATTTTAACTATCTGCAAAACTGCAGCAACTTTGATACATCCTATAGCATGGTGGGAAGCAACAGAGATGGGGACTCAATTTGGCATCATCTTTATTAAGTATTAGAAAGCACAATTTGCATCATGAAAAACAGGTTTACTGGTTTGTAAAAAATGTCCCTCTACATTAATAGAAAGTAAAAAGTTTTGGCTGGGCACAGTGGTTCACGTCTGTAATCCCAGCACTTTGGGAGGCTGAGGTAGGTAAATCATGAGGTCAGGAGTTTGAGACGGGCATGGCCAAGAAGGTGAAACCCCATCTCTACTAAAAATACAAAAATTAGCTGGGTGCGGTGGCAGGTGCCCGTAATCCCAGTTACTCAAGAGGCTGAAGCAGGAAAATCACTTGAACCTGGGAGGTGGATGTTGCAGTGAGCCAAGATTATGCCACTGCACTCTAGCCTGGGAGACAGAGCAAGACTCTGTCTCAAA